TGCTGCAATCCTCCCACTGCCACTGTAGCCAACACTTTTACATAGACTTCTTCTGTTAATTACAATGTTTCTAAGTATGTGTGCTACATTTTATTCCTCTGAAACTCAAGTCAATTTTATTCTCCAGTTCTATTGGAACATCTTACTATAAATTTCTCACTGACTGTAACTCTTAGTTCTATTTAAACGTGTACTTTAGTACCTTGAATATTCACTCACTAATGTTTTTTCTTAATGAGTTTTGCTTCTCAGGCCAGCTGGATATTATGATCCAAAACCAGGAATTGTTTTGTTTTCCTGCCCTGTGTTTCCATCTTCTCTTCTCTTTGCTGTCTCTTGCTCTACATTTCTGGCATCCATTTTACAATTTCCTCACTAACATCTAACGTTTGCCCTTCAGCTTTTACCTGTTTCAATCTCAAGCCACTTAAAATAGCTACAAGAAGCCTGCTGCTGTTGCCATCATCATCATTTTTTTTCTCTAAAACCCTTCTATAACTATGCCTACAAGGCAATAAAGATGACATCGATTAAATATTTAATTTTCCCAAATTTTTCAGATTTGCGCTAACAGAGATTTTACTGATAAGTTATTTATCAGCAGAAATGGAAAATAATGTATGTTGTCAGATTCACCAATTTATAGTCCTAAGAGGGCATTTCCATTTCTAAGAACAGAGATCCCCTAGAGATTATAGCCTCCATTTATTCATATTAATATCCAAAATCTGAGCTTCTTGAGAAAAACCCCAAAGGTCTTTTTGCTAAGATGCCATAGCTTACTCAATAAAATCAGATGATTAAAGGGCTTCAAATTCCTGCTCTTTCGTTTTTCATCCTATGGTTTCACTCTAGCATAAAATGAAATATAACTTTTCATTATAGATGTTTACCACAAGTGTGACAGGTAGTCTCACAACAGATGCCTGAATATTTCTAAATTCAGTCTTCTGTGTCTTCTAGCATTTTTCTTCTTTAAGGGATAAACAAGTTATTTTAAGAAATCTTGTTAAATGTAAGTTTTTATCAAACATTGACAAAATAAGATGATATTATAAAATAAATGAATTTTTTGTTTGGTTGGTTTGATTTTTGGTTTTTAGAGAAAGGGTTTCTGTGTAACCCTAGCTGTCCTGGCACTCACTCACTCTAGACCAGACTGGCCTCAAACTCAGAGATTTGTGTCCCTCTGCCTTACAAATGCTTGGATTAAAGGCGTGTGCCCCCAATACTGGGTCAAAAGAATGTTTTTTTAATTATTCTGTTATTTATGTGAAAGCCCTCACTGACCCTAAGTATATAATTAATTTTCATTGCATATAAGAGATTGGCTTTTCTTCTAGCATTTGCTAGACTTTCTGAGCCTATAGCTCCAGGTTTATATTAAATTGGAAACAGCTTTTTTAAGTTACTTTTTTAAAAAAAAAAAAAGCTATGAATTAGTAGAAATATTTACACAGGTTGCTCCTGATATTTTACAACCTGATAAGGCAAAAAATATTCCTTAGACTCCCATAATTTATATCAATTTATATAGTTTGGGGTTAAATTTTATGAGACTACTGAGAATTTGAATACAGATTGTACACTGTTAATTTTAATATGCAAAAATATTTTTAGCTGTTTTATTTTATTTTAATAAACAACATTCTCTTTTGGCTGGAGAGATTGCCTTGCAGTAATGGGGACCTGCATTTTATCCTCAGAGCCAACGTTTTATAAAATATGGAAGTTTGACATGACGTCAAGTGCTTATAAACCTAGCCCTGGGAAGGTAGAGATCAATCTCCTGAGGCTGCTGGCATCTCCGTCGGCTCTGCCTTTTTTCTCCCCGTATTCATTTTGGATTTTTCTCCCTAGCTATATTTTGCTCTGTTATAGGTCAAAGCAGCTTCTTTACTAACCAATTAACTAACTAAAACATATTCACAGCATATGAAGGGACATCCCACATCAGAGAGATCCTGTCCTAAAAAAAAAAAAAAAAAGTTAAGAATACTGACTGCTCTTCTGGATGACTCGAGCTCAATTCCCAGCACCCACAAGCAACTTCCAACTGTCTATAATTCCAGTTCCAAGGGACCCAATGCCCTCTTCCAGCCTCCTCAGATACCAGGTACAGCCATAGTGAACACATAGATATATCTGCAGGCAAAACACCCATTCACATAAAATAAGTAAAATTAGAAATGAAGAAGTGAACATTATATGAAGAACAACACTTAAAGTTGTCCTCTGCTTTCCACAGGCAGGCATACATACATCTTCACACACCTGTACACACACATAGACATGCACAACTCCCACACACATTCATAAAAAGAAAACCATAATGTTTTATTTCTTATTCTGTGTCTAATTTCAAACATAGCATGTAAAACAATCTGACTTTATGATACCAAAGATCTGAAGTCATGAGTCCAGGGTGATTCATCTGAGTCCTCTGCCTCAAGATCTTTTACAAAGTTGTAATCAAGATATAGACCGGGCCTAGCATTTTACTGCTCATTGTGGAAAGTTCCACCTCAGTATATATACTCCAGTTATATACACCTGACTGGAGTATATAAAAGAACCATATGAGTAAACCATAGGGAAAAAGCCGGTAAGCAGTTCTCATCCATGGCCTCTGCATCTGATTCTGTCTCCAGGTTTCTGCCCTGAGTTCCTGCTCTGACTTCCCCCAGGAGTGGACTTATAAATTATAAGATGAAATAAAATCTGTCACCCCCAAGTTATGTTTGGTCATGGTGTCCTATTACAGCAGTAGAAATGCTAACTAAGGCAGTATTTTCACAAATACAGATTTACAATGGAAAGATTGTGTCAACATCTATTCAGATATTGCTGGAGCAATGATGGCTAAGAAAGGTAGGCTTGTAGGAAAAACAAAGGATTTTGTAATAAGAATATTATTTTTAACCACTGTATAATCCACTGAAAAGCATTTGAAGTTAACTATAGTTCCCCTTTAAGAATGGGGATAATAAGCATATATATATATATATATATATATATATATATATATATATATATATATATCAGTAACTTTTTAGACATTAATGAGCAGCAAAATCACCAAAGATGATGTTAGTCAAAAATGAAAGTTCTAGACTCCTATTTAGTGAACCTAGGATGGGACCTTACATTCATGTATAAACTCATAATTTAATATACACCAAGTGATTTTTGTACCACTAATAGATTAGCATACTGTCAAGAACATTTAGTCATTTATAAATAAGTCCAGTCATTTTAGAAATTGCAAACAATCTCTTCTAGTAAAGGAAGTTATACATTCAGAGTTACTTCTGTCGCTAGGAACTGTACTCAGACAAAAAAAGAGCTCCAGACTCAATCATTATTTTTGTCCTTTTGAACATGCCTGCTCCTAACCAGGCAGAAATCATAGCATGATCAGCAGAGACTGCATCCTTGATCAGAAAATAGGAAGTATGCAGGACTACTGCCACCTGCTCTTGGTACCTAAAAGGAAGAATTTGCAGGTAGGGCTCTTGTCTAGTAGGTGAGGAGGGCTGAAAACTAGGTAAACCATACCCTGTGGCCTTGCTTCACTTGCGTGAAAATAATGTCATTCTCGATTTGTAAAAAATATTCTTTGGCTTCTCTGTGTGGCTACAAGCCTTAGTTTTTGCTAATGAATATTAAGTGGCCTTGCTTTTTTTATAACGTGATTTAAAGTATTGTATTTCTTCCCTCAAGTACAGAGAAAAATAAACCACCCAGGCTTTATCAGCCTGTATTTCTCACAACAAATTGATTGGATTGAGAAGTGCCCAGAGAATTACTAACATAAACATCTGTTTCTATGAAGGTGAGCAAAACAACAAAAAAGACTTGCCCATAAGGAGGGCAGAACAATCCCATTAGCTGGGGTCAGGGATGGAATGAAGGCAGAAACAGTGGTGTTCACTCTCATTCCCTTTCCCCCACTCCAGGCCACAGTGGTGTGAGCTACTCTGCTGCACAACATCCTCCCCACAATAATAGGGGAAACTATTTGCAACCAGGAACCAAAATAAATCCTTTCTCCCTTTGAGTTGTTCATACTGGGTACTTAATAACATGCGTGAAAAGTATAAGATCATTTTTTTTTGTTACTGGTCAGGATCTGGGCAAAGTGTTTACAGGTCCCAGGTCTCTTAAACAAATAATTGGGGGGGGGAGCTCCCAAAATTGCTAAAGAAGCAAGGTGAATTTTGATCAAAGCAAAGCAATAGTGTAGGTTACAGAGGGATACATTGTCAGCATTGACAGTAAGCCACATGAGTGAAAACACTCAAGGTCCCCATTATAGTTCAAGGCTTCCTTTCATGGGATTTAAGAGAAGGTTACTATGAGACATAGTTTAGGTGATTCTCTTACTTTGGTTGACAGATCAAGTCATACATTCATTTTCCGTAATACATATGTCCCTTGTCACCGTGCATCCGATTTTAATATGCATGCCCAGTCATTCATAGGCATACAATGCTATATAAGGAATTATCCTTAAAAGGTTACTGCAGGATATAGTTTTGCCTTAAAGTGCATATATCCCAAACCAGTCTAAGACAGAAGGAGCAGCCCTTCTGTTCTCCACACCCAGATACCTTGAGAATTCACTTGAATAGAAACAATCTAAGTGTGATTGTTACCTGGGTGTAACACACTATTATTTGTTGAGAGATGGGAGTGTGTGTAGCACGCCGCAGGTGAGGGGCTGAAGGGGTTCTGCCATTGTTTGCTTCATTCTTTGGAGAGGGTTATGTGTATGCACACAGGAGAAAGGAATAGGTAGCAAAGTGTATTGTTAGACCACGGAAAGCTGGGTATAACCAAAAACAAATGGGGGCCCCAGGGTACTAAAATGTCTCCTGTTTTTCTGCCTCACTTTCACAGAAATGAGTCCCAGTATTAAACCTTTTTACAATTTAATTCCACCACTTTCCCTTTGAGTTTGGCATATATAAGTAGCCTTTAAATAATAAATACTAAGATTGCTTTTTAAATCTGCTTTATTAGCTCCACAATATATACTGAGATTCTTTCCATGCATTAGATAAATTCTGCTAACAACAAAAAAATTAAGACTGAATCAAAAACACAAGTTTCAATTAGAAGCTGGCAGTACGCGGAGACCCATGAGGAACAAGTAACATCAAAAATTTTACAACCGTACATCACAAACATTAAGTTTTTGAAGCAGGGGTCCCCGTATTATCTTCAGAGAAAACCAGGATTCAGGGCATAAGGCAAAACTCATCATGATGGTCATGGTGCGGGGGGTCAGTGCTAACTGCCCGCTGAGTATGGCTCAGCTGCCTTTCCCTCAACTTCTCCATGAGCTGTCTCACATCCTCCCCAAACCTTTCCCTGTTCTCCTCTCTCATCCTTGCCTGGGGCTCTCCGACCCTGTGCATCAGGTCCCATCTATAGTGCACAATGGGCTGCCTAATGCGGAAGCGCCTGCGATTTCCTCGAGGCGCAGAGTATTCAGCTTCAAGAGGCAGGACCACAGGCTGCACCCTTTTCTTAGCACCCTGCGGCTTTTCTTCCTTTTCCTCCTTGCTCTGATGGTCATTTTCCATGTTGAGATTTTTTCCTCCTTGTTCCTCTTTGGATTCCATTTCTCCTGGAAGACAAGGGAATTGTTCAAAGGTTCAGCACCGAGGACAGAGGCCCGTTTTCAACATTCACTATCTTGAATGTCCATATGTTTACTTTGTTTTTCAATTTTATTTTCCTACCTGAAAGGCCCAACACGCCCTCTAGGGGGCCCCCAGTCCCATCCCCTCCCTCTCCACAATCCACCATTTTCCCTGTAGATCTATCTCCAAGGTTTTTGCAGGCATCAAAATGGAGGATGAAGTTAGTGGATGGGGGTGGTAGGTGGTGAGGGAGATGGGACGTATAATGGGAGAGATGGGATGGAAGGTGGGAAGGAATAGATGGGGTATCTGACATTCCAGACTGGGCTTCCCGCACGCTCCTCTAGCCCCTCCTCCCCACCCAGACACACACACGCAGCCCCTGAACCGACCTGGGCCTATCCCTTGCCGCGTAGACCTGTTCTCAATTGTCGCTGCCAGATGCTCCTCAGCGATTCTCGGCTAGCAGACCTGCAGACAGGGAGGGATGGGAGCGACTCAGTGTGGAACTCAGTTCCGCACTCTGCACCTCTCCGCCTGCATCCCCACTGCCCATCCCCTTTACCCCGCCTCCCTCAGCCACCATCAGCCAGTCTCCTTCTTCACTCTCTAGGGCTAGGTTCAGTGCTCTCCTCCACAGGCCCACCCGACCGCCCAGGGGCGCCCCTTCATGGGCTCAGCCACGGTTCTCTTTGCGGTGCAGAAAGCCGCGGTGCCGCTGCACGGTCCTCCCTTGCGCTTCATTGCACCCGGAGGCTGTCACCCTCAGGGCAGCTGCATGCGGGCCCCTTACCTGCTCCGCTCGCCCAGGGCCCTATGCCAGCCCGCCATGCGCAGGGAAGCACGGAGCTGGTGTCCAGACGCGAGTGACGACTGCACCCAAGGCTGCATCTTTCTGCAGCCCCGGGTCACGTGAGGGCCCCGCGTCACAGCCAAGCTCGCTCCCCAGCTCAGGAGGCCAGTTCGACAAGAGGCTCCGCCCAGCTTCCCTCTGTGAGCATGCAAGTCACGCCTCAGCCATCACTCATCCAGATCCTCGCCAATCTGAGGACCCACAAGTGGCATCACCGTCTGGAGGTTGGACTTCTCTCTTCCCTGTTTCCAGGGAGAGTCTGCACCTTTTACCACACCCACAATCTGGCAATCTGCTTTCTCCCTTCTTTACATCTGAATAGATCCTTTCTATTAATTTCTCTTTATTTTCTTTTTAAATATTAATGAGTATCAGCCACAACTGGTGCCTCAGTCTTGAAATCCTGGCACTAGGGACACTGAACTAGGAAATTCAACATGAATTGGGACCAGTGTTGGGATCACTGTAGACTACATAGTGAATTTCAAGTCAGTTTGGGCCACAGGATGAGACCGTTTCTCAAAACAACACATGTTCATACCTCAATTTTGAAAAGCAAGAAACTTTATTTTTGAACTAAACGTTTGAAACTGACACAGTAACAAACAAACAAACATAAACAAAACATTATGTCCACCTGTGCTGGATAAAATATATTTATTCTGATTGCCACAAACTATTTTTATTTACTTTTTTATTTTTTTTCGAATATTTACATAGAGTGAGCTGTTCTCGAACTCAGGACCTCGGGAACAGCAGTCGGCGCTCTTAGCATCCCAGCCACCTCTGTGGCTGCTCAAACTATTTTTAGAACATTCTAGTTTGCTTGAATTTTTCCCTGGAAAAAAAATTTTTAAAATAGTGAATCTCCCTGTACACAATCTGTGTTTCTAGAATAAGTTAAGTGAATCTTAAGAAACAAGTCCAGGGGGCTGGAGAGATGGCTCAGTGGTTAAGAGCTTTGCTGGCTCTTCCAAAGGTCCTGAGTTCAATTCCCAGCAACCACTTGGTAGCTCACAACCATCTGGAATGGCCTGTAGGCATACATGCAGGCAGAACATTGAATACATAATAAATAAATAAAATAAAAAAGAAACAAGTTCAGTTGTTAGAGCATAGCAATTTTATGTCAACAATCTTTTTCCCTTCTGGAACCAGTTCTGTTCTGTTCTATCCTACAGTTACCATCATTTTTAACTGTAGAAAGGCTTTTTGCTAGCAACTGAAAATTAATGACTATTACTATGGATAGCTTTAGGGACCTAATCGAAGGGGACAAGCTGTGAGAGTACCAAGGCAGGCTGAGGGATAGAAGGTAGATCATCTCTGCTCTGCAAAGAGGCTAGGAGGGTGTTGGTTTCCCTAGCAGCAAGTTCCAGAACCCCCAGTTTTCTATGTTCAGGTTCCCGCTGTATATTTCCAAGCCACACGGAGAATTCCCCTTTGAATTCTCGTCTCCAACTCTTCCACAAGTCCATCCCCAGTGAATTATCTTCTTGCATAGATTAGAGGTCTGTGCCCATACTGGAAACCACAAAGGTATCCTAAACTTTTGTAGACTTCACCTAAAGTACATGAGTGTCTGTTGAATGAGGGGAAAGGGTGATGCCAAGACTGCCTGCTTTTGTTTGCACCCAGCTTGGGTAGAATCCACTCTGTGCTCTGGTTGTCAACTCTTCCGGGGCATTGGAGGTGTGGGCTCCTGGAATCCTTATCATAACTGCTTCACTTCCAGACCACTGAGCAGGAAGATCTCTGTGAGTTTGAGGCCAGACTGGTAAACACAGCATGTTCCAGGCCAGCTGGAGCTACATAGTGGGATACTGTCCAAAAAAAAAAAAACCTTAAAATGGCTAGAAATAATAAAATTAAGGCAAAAACTAATGAAATAGAAACTAAAACAGCAATGCATACAGCCAAAGAGTTGGATCTTCAAGATTAACAATACTCACAACATCTTAGCCAAACTAATAAAAGAGAGGGAAAACTCAAGTAAATAAAATCAGAGATGAGACAGGAGTTGTTAAAACAGAACTCAATGAAGTCCAGACTATGGGAAACTTTGACGAGTTTTAGCCTAAAAAGATGAAAAACCTCAAAACAATGAATAAATTTCTAAACTCCTATGTCCTGTTGAAATTAAAACCTGGTGATATAACCAAATTAAAAAGACACACAAAAAGCAACAAAATTGAGACAGTAATTAAAAGTCCCTCCACAAAGCAAATCCCAGAACTTGAAAGACTGACTGTTGAATTCTATCAAACGTTAAAGGAAGGTCTACTAACAACACTCCTTAAGCTATTCTACAAAATAGAAATGGAAGGAACACAGCAAAACAAACTCTGTGAAGCCAGTTATTATACCGACATCAAATCTGGATAAAGACATAACAGAAAAAGAAAGCTACAAGCCAGTGTCCCAGATGAACACAGAAGCAAATTTTCTCAACCAATAGGATTGAATGCATTCCGATGAAAAGGTTCATGAGCTCCCACTCCTAACTAAGGAACTATGGACAGTTGATGGCTTGTCGGGGAGAGATGATCAGTTTTTTAACAGTGTGACTTCTGGTAGGACAACCACACTCTGGTGAATGCCTCCATAATGAGAGGATATGTCCAACACAGATCAGAGTTAGTGAACTACTAGATGTTTAAAAGAGGACGCAAAGATGGGAGTATATTACAATATTAATTCAGAAATGAAAAGTAAAGAGTGCTATTTTCAGAAAAAAAGATAATTTGTACATGTGTATGTGTAGTCTTATAGTTCTATAGTAATGTATTAGTCTACTAAAACTGTTCTAGTAAAATACTGTACACTGAATGGCTTAAAGTCACAAAAATGTTCTAAAATAAGTTGGAATAGGCAAAACAAATCAAAACAATAAAGGCTATTTATGCTAAACCTTTAGCCAACATTATATTAAATGGGGCAAAAGAGAGCATTTCCTCTAAAATTTGAAAGAATACAGGGTGCCTGCTCTCTCTACTCTTAATTCAATATATTTCTTGAAGTCTTAGCTAGAAGAATAAGTCAAGAGAAAGATATAAAGGGGTTAAAAATGAAAGGAAGAAGTCAGATTATCCCAAGCCACAGATATAGAACATAATTGTATAGTTAAGAGTCTCATATTTATACTGAAATGAATGCAACTGGAGATCATATGTTAAGTGAAACAAGACACACTTGAAGAGATTGATGCTATAGGTTCTCTTTCATATGTAGGTTGTCGCGTTTGATGTTCCTCTGTGTGTGTGTGTGTGTGTGTGTGTGTGTGTGTGTGCGTTGTTCGTGCGCGCGTGTGTGTGTACCATCAAACTGGAAATGGGTCCATGAAAGGGAAAAAGGGTATTAAGGAAGAGGTGGGTCATGATAGAGCACTTGTGACGTGAAAACAAAAATGAGATTGCTAGGGGTAGAAAGGTCCAAGATGGTGGGGGAGTGAGAAGGAGGGAGAGGAGTGTCTACTAAACCCCCATGTTTGAAATTGCTGTAAGGAGACCATAAAGCTTTATGGTAATTAAAACATTTAAAAAGAAAATCTTACAAAGTATTTTTAACACTTTAGCTTGGGATTTGTGTCCTTCAGATTATGAGAAAATGAATTTCCATAGATTTAAATTACCCAGTGTGCAGTACATATTTTTAAAGCTTTAGACAACGAAAGGCACCCAAATAAAGATGCACATGTGTGCACACCTACACACATACACAAATGGTCCTTTTCTTTTTTTTAGAATAGCTTTTTATTGCTCCTTAGGGGCTTTCACATCATGTACCCCATTTTCATTCATTTCCCAGTCCCTCCATATCTGTTTTTCACCCTTGTAGAATTCCCCCACAAAGGGAAACTTAAAAATAAATAATAAATGATCCAAATAAGAATATTAATTAAAAACAAACAAATATAAACAAACAGAAAAGCTAACAACAAAACCCACTTTGCTCTTTCATCTTTCCTGCCTCTCCATCACCTTTTCATTTGTCTCAGTGTCATTGAGAGCTGTGTCATGCAGTATTCCCTTTTGTCCAAACAGCTTTGCTTGCAAATTTTCATTACATAATGTGTTGTTGGTCTGGTTCAAGATCTCTGGCCTCTGGTACACCATCAATACTGAACCCTCA